TATGCGGCATCATGGTGGGAAGCACAGCTGTTGGTAAAATTCAGCCCGATCCCTCTAACCTGCAGTATGATGGTTGGTCACTTTTGCTGGACCTGTTTCCCTGCCCACCAAGCGGCCGACCCTGGAGTGCACCAGGGGGCCGTACAGCCAGTACACCCTTCTGAGATAGGCACCCCCAGCAGGCAAGGCAAGGTTGTGGTCATTCATTCACTGCTATTAATTAGGCATCAGGCTTTTGCAAAGTTTGGGCAGATTTCATAAGATGCAGCCAAGGGCCTCGACCTTAGCTTTCTTAGGGAACTTCGCTCAATGTAGTGTTGTTAGAAGGAAAGTATCAAGAAAGAAAGGCACCAGCGGTGAAGGAGACAGAAGGAGGTTCAGTTGGTGTGGCTGAACCAGCTGGTGTGGCTCAGTGGTTGAGTGTCAATCCATGAACCAGAAGTTAATGGTTGATTCTGGGTCAGGGCACATGCCTGGGTTGAGGGCTTGATCCCCAGAGAGGGGGGTGCAGTTGGCAGCTGATTGATGATTCTCTCTCATCATTGGTGTTTCTATCTCTCTCTCTCCCTCTCCCTTCCTCTCTGAAATCAATTTTTTTGAAAAAAAATTTTAAGAAGGGTTTTGAGTGCCCTCAGTCTTCTTGTTCTGAGCCCCACCTCATGCCTCTTCTCTGGAGTTCCATAACGAAGACTGTTTCATTATGCTTCTTTCTATAGAAACCTGCTCTAAGGAATAGCCTTATAGATTTATGAACACTAACATGTAAAGGACTGCTAAGGCTTTATACTTGCTCATTTTTATAAGGGGAAAGCTTTCAGTCAAAGAAATAAATAGCTTCAGCCCTAACCGGTTTGGCTCAGTGAGTAGAGCGCCGGCCTGCAGATCAAGGGTCCCAGGTTCGATTCCGGTCAAGGGCATGAACTTTGGTTGTGGGCACATCCCCTGTGGGGAGTGTGTAGGGGGCAGCTGATTGGTGTTTCTCTCTCATAGATGTTTTTAACTCTCTATCCCTCTCCCTTCCTTTCTGTAAAAAATCAATAAGATATATATATATAAAAAAAAAAGAAAGAAAGAAAGAAAGAAAGAAAGAAAGAAAGAAAGAAAGAAATAGCTTCAGGTGAGTGGGGGAGATCGAGAGCCGTCTCAATGATTCAGAAAGCACATGCCTACTTCATCCAGACAACCAGCCAGGGTGCTACAGCCTGGCTGTGGCAGGGGTGGGGGCTGGAATGGGAGGGGTCATGCCATGGGTGTTTAGTGGAACTGACTGAGCAAATTCTGAACCCTCCACCCTCTTCCTGGAAGTAGAAAAGTAATCAGGAGAATCGTGGGAAGAAGGGACAAAGGCCACTAGGATAGCGCAGAGGTACACAAAGGAGGGAGGGAGGGAAGACAGCACAGAGAGTGCAGAATTCTGTGTCTTCCTAATGTGACTGTCAGCACAGTGGAAAGTAGGGTGTCTGGTCTTCCGGCTCTTTGAGGCATCCTCAGCCTTCTCCCTTGTGCCTTGCCACCCCACCAAGACACTCCTGGTCATGTTCAAGAGAAGCTCATCTCGTGGGCAGAAACAGCCAACCTGTAGCCACTTTGGATATGCCTGGGACCCCCCATCTGGCCTGTATCCTGGGACCAAAGAAAGGCCCGAACCAGATTATGCTCCTGGTGGACAGGCAGGGGTTGGGTGGAGAATCCAGGTTTCCAGAGAGCATCAGAGCAAAGACAGTGAAGAGGACTGGCTGGTAGTGCCGCCTGCCCTCCCCACAGGGCGGCCCCACCCAGCAGCCCTCTGGGCTCAGGGTCCGGTGAAGCCCAGGTATGAAGGCCTGGCTCCCAGCAGCCCTGGGGAAGGGGCTCCAAAACAGAAGGAGACAGACATGGGTCGGAGCCAGTCCTGGGACACAAACACCAGTATATTTCATGTGCGCGGATGTGAAGAGAAGACAGAGATGCTAACAGAGACAGAGCAGGCAATGGGCGCACAAACCGGTCGTGTGTCCTGCCGAGGAGCTGCCGCAGTTGGGAGACAGTCCCCGCCTCAGAGCCAGGACCTGCCCCTCCTCCAGGTCGGGGTGGCCTCAGGGTGGCAGGTGAGCTCCCTGCCTTACCGCAGCCCCTCCAGCGGGGCGGGGGGGGGGGGGGGGGGCTCTGCATCCCCTGAGAAGGCGCCTGCACAGCCCAGAGCTCCATAAATACAGGTTCTCGCGAACTGACCCCCTCCGCGACTGCCTCTCTGGGAGACCCATGCAGAGGGCAAGGGACCTGGACAGAAGGACTCATGGCCACGCCCTCGGTATTATTGCTGAGAATAAGCACAGGCCATTGCGATGCCATTATGACTCACTGGCATCCGAGGGAAACAGGGCACAAGGGGCAGGGCAGCCAGCAGACACGGAAGCATCCAACCATGCAGGACAGCACAAGGCGATCTGTAACTCGGAGGCGCGGGGGTGTCCAGCGGAGAGACCCGGGACACCAGCGGCTTGTAAACAGCAAGCCAACGCTCTCCGCCAGCACCCCCACTGCTCGGCAGGCATGGGGTTACCCTACACCTTGAGGCCCTGGGCACTAAGGAACGGGGGCCCTGGAGATAAAAAAAAAAAAAAAAAAAAAAAAAAAAAAAAAAAGAGGAGTGAGGTCTGGGCTCTGAGCCTGCAGTGAGCTCTGAGCCTGCAGATTCTGTGGCTAAGCCCTGGCTCGCTGCCTCCCTGATCAGGGGGCTCCATGAAGCAGACACAGCACACTCCGCACGTTGCCAGGGAGGCAGGCTTACCCCAGGACGTCCTGCACAGAGGAGAGAGGGTGCCGAGGCATGGCCACAGGGCAACGTCTGGAAAGGCCAGGTCCAGTGGGCCATTCAAGGGCTTGGCCAGGCTGAGAACTGTGGAACCTTAGGCTGGGAGACACCAACAAGCGGACCACCAGAGGCCATCGTGGAAAGGGAAAGCGAAGGGGGGGTGGTGGTAGGGTCTAGGGGCCCAACTGGGGGCCTGCAAGGGAGTGGGGGTCCAAGAGACTGAGCATGGAGCTGGAGGAGAGGACCAAGGAAGCCATTCCCTAGAGGGAACAGGGAAGCCAGCCAATCTTCTTCCTCTGGAATCCCCACAGCTGTACATGGAGCACCATCGACCCCCATGACAGCCGGAAGCCCCTAGGAGCCCCAAAGCCCTAGAATTGGGGCCACAGGTAAACCAAAGCCAGGCCCCTGCAGAATGCAGCTCATGCCTGGATATAACGAGCCTTCCCAGGACACAGAGACTGGAAAAGGCCCTTCATCCCGTCCCGGACAAGGTCCACTGCAGAGAGCAACCCTCCCAGAGTCTCCCCGCCCCTCCCCCAATCCCGGACACCTCTCCTGCCCACGCCCGCCCGCCGGCCCTGGCCCGGTGCTGCCCACACGGTCTGGGTGGGGCAACACAGCAAGGAAGAGGAGATGCTCTCCGCAGGTGGCATGATCACTTTTTAATGTTCTACAAAAAGGGAAGGGCCAATTTCTACCTAAGAGTTCTCGTGTGGTCAAGTGGAGACCTCGTACCACGGGAAAGGCTGTGTTCTGATGGAGCCTCCCCTTGGCAAGTGGGGGAAGAGCCGGAAGTGGGCTGGAGGGAGGTTTTCGCCTGCCCATTGCCAACAATGGACCTGCCACGGGCACCCAAGATGACAACGCCTGTGAGCGTGGCAGGGTTAATACTGTCTGAGGAGCAAGCTCCAAGTGTCAGTCTTGCAGGGGAGGGTGAGGAGGGGTGGCCCTGAGGAGGTTTTGCTGCAGGGCTGGGGCTATGGCAGATCCAGAACTGATCCCTTCCCACTAAGGATAGTCCCCCTCACTCATTCTCCATGGTCTGCAACGCTGGATCCCCTAGAATGCTGGACTGCCCCGGAAATAAATCATCAGGCGTGACTTTACCACCCTCCCCGCACCCACCCACCCACATACACTGATTTGTCTCTGGGTCCCCACTGAGGATCTGCGGGGCCCACCTTGGCCTGGCGGTGTTGTGGGTGCCATTCACGGTTCGCTGGGCCACTGCGGGGAGGGGGCGTGCATGGAGAAGAGCACCAGGGCACTGCCACCGCCCACCGGGTTGGGTAACAGTGGAGGGAGGGCTGCAGAGGGCGGGTGGGGTGTCTCAGGTTCTATCTCTGGCAGCTGCTGTGTTGGCTGGGGAGTGGGAGTTGGGGGTTGGTGGGTAACTGACATAGATAAAGGGCTGATAGTGGAAAAGGCCTTAAAAAATAAGCGAGAAAGGAGGGGTGTGTGGGGGGTGGGGGGTAGAAACGCCACCAAAAGCACAGGGACTAAAACCTCCAAAAGCCTAAGGTTGGTGGGAATCCAGCACCAGGGGGCCCCAGGAGGCCGAGAGAGCAGCGTGGGGCCCTGGGGGGAGGGAGAGGAGCCAAGGGGAGGCCTCCCAGCCCTGCAGCCTAGCACGGCTCCAAAGCAGCGTCTGGCCGCCCAGTCTCTCCCTAGGCTGCCGCTCAGCAGGCCCCCGGGGGAGGTATTGGTTGCAAGCAAGCACCTGAATATTGCCTAACGGAACCAGCCAAAGCCCAACTAAACCGGGTGAGAAGGAACCAGGTGGCCGAGGCAGCAGCCCTACACCTCCTCAGCCCTGCCTCTCGCCTTTTGTCTGTTTCTCAGAGTCCCTTAGCCAGGGCAGGGCAGGGCCTGCTGCTTCCAAAGTCACCCATGTAGTCTAGTCCCTGGGAAGCCTCAGGCCTCCTGCCCACAGCCTCTGAGCTGGGGTGAGATCCACAGACCAACCCCCAAGTCCCTCTGCTGCCTTGTCAGCCCACCCCCAACACCAGCCCTCAGTGGAGGGATGGGGGCTGTGTGCACCCCGCAGGGCTGAGGCTGGGCTGGGGCTGTGTGCACCCCGCAGGGCTGAGACCAGGGTGAGGCAGGGTTTGTGCTGTGTACAGAGGGGGCAACTCCACCTGCTCCGCACTTCTCTCCACAGGGTCCATGAGCGACCCCGGCCCCTCCCCCGCGGGCCCCCCACTCAGTCGGTTTTGATGTGGCCGTTGGCCAGGGCCAGGGGGCCTGCGGGCTCCCCCGGCTCCCCGGGTTCGGCGTCCTTGTCGAAGCGCAGGCGGAGCGTGTTGCGGATGATGAACTGCTCCATGATGAGGGCCCCGCAGAACCAGGGCACGGCGTACTCCAGGGTGATGAGGCCCATGAAGTCGAAGTCGAACTGCGAGTAGTCCCAGGGGCAGGCGTTGAACTGGCGCAGGATGAGGCCGGTGGTGAACTCCCAGGCGTAGGTCCAGAGCGTGTAGATGAGGCAGCGCAGCAGCAGCGGGCAGCGCGCCCGCAGGCGCAGGTACATGCGCTCCACGATCAGGATGGAGGTGCCGTAGATGAAGAGCGCCCACACGCTCGTGACGCCCGGGAACTTCCAGTTAAAGTTCACCACGAACTCCCAGGCCGCTGTGAACATCACCTCGCAGAAGTAGCCGTGGATGGCGTACAGGTACCAGCGGGACAGTGCCGTCAGCGGCTCCACCGAAGCCATGGCGCCCACGGGAGCCAGCTGCTGGGACACAGAGGAGACAGGTGAGACGGGGAGGGAGGGAAGTGGGAGGGAGAGAGGGCTGAGCCTCTCCTGCCTCCCATCCCACCATCCAGTCCAGGTCTCTGATGGTGTGTAACAAGGCCCAGTGGCTTTCAAGCCCGCCTCTGCCTTTCTCTTTGGTTACCAACCAGAAGCTCCGCCTTATCCCACAGTCATTGCTTCATCCCATAGGCCTTACCTGAGCCGTGGGCATGAGGAATGAAGAAAGCAAACCAGTCCTAACCTGTTTGGCTCAGTGGATAGAGCCTCAGCCTGCAGACTGGAAGGTCCCAGGTTCGATTCCAGTCAAGGGTGTGTACCTTGGTTGCGGGCACATCCCCAATAGGGGATGTGCAGGAGGCAGCTGATCGATGTTTCTCTCTCATCAATGTTTCTCTATCCCTCTCCCTTCCTCTCTGTAAAAAATCAATAAAATATATTTTAAAAAAGAAAAGAAAGCAAACCACCCCACTGGCTTCCTCTGAGTAACTCTACTCAAATGCTTCTTGGAGGAGGGTGTGTGCTCGCCTTCCTAGGCTAGCTGTTTTGGATGTGGTCTGTGAGGGGGTCAGCTGGCCTGGCCCGTCAATCACACCCATTTCCAGGCTACGTGCTGGTTTCTCACCAGGCTCCCCTGGGGTCCCCATCTCTTCCCTCACTTTTTCTCCTGTTTCTGAGATCTTTCTAAGCAAGCCGTTGTATTTGTCTTCCATGCACGTGTTCACGTGTTCATAACAACATTTACCATTTTAGTAATTTTTAAGTGTACAATTAAGAGGTATTAAGGACATTCACACTGTTGTGCAACCACCACTGACATGTCTCCAGAACCTTCTCATCGTCCCAAACTGAAACTCCATATTCATTAAACATGAATTTTCCTCCCCTCCCCAGCCCATGGCCACCACCAGTCCACCTTCTGTCTCTATAAATTAGACCACGCTAGGCACCTCATTTAAATGGAATCATGCAATATCTGTCCTTTTGTGTCTGGCTTATTTCACTTAGTGGAGTGTCTTCAGGGTTTATCCATATGATAGCCTGTGTCAGAATTTCTTTCCCTCTTTAAGGCTGCATTGGGATCCACCTATCTAGACATATCACATTTTGTTTACTCATTTACCCATGAATGGGTTGCTCCTACCTTTTGGCTATTGTGAATAACTCTTTTGGGGATATCTTCAGAAGTGGAATGGCTGGATCACCTGGTAATTCCATTTTTTATTTTTTATTTTTTATTTTTTTATTTTTTTGAAGAATGGCCTTGCTGTTTTCCATAGCGGCTGTACCATTTTTACATTCTCACCAGCCACGCACAAAGGTTCCAATTTCTCCATATCCTTGCCAGCACTTGTTATTTTCTGGTTTTCTGAGGATGGTCATCCTAATGGGTAGAAAGTGGTAGCTCCTTGTGATCACATTTGTCCTTAACTGCTCCCTTAAGCAGGCGTTTGGTGTTTGGTTTCACTGATGAAAGGAAGCCAGTGAGCTGACAGAGGACAGAATCTTCCTTCCACTTCTGTTCTCCTCCCCCTCCTTTCTCTTAAGGCCCAGTCCTCAAAGCCCAGCCCTCAGGCCTCTGTGCTTTCTCCTCACCCTTCCCAGCAGCTGTCTGGACCACTCATTGGCCCTTTATCAAATGCCACCCTATTTACTATTTTAGGCACACGCCCTTTTGGTCCAAGGAGGCTGTGTACTCCTTGAGGGCAGCAAATGTTTCCGGTCTTCTCTTCTGCAGCCATGGATGGCGCAGGCCTCTCCCAAACAGGCATTCTCTAGATGACACGTGTTGTTTACGGGGATGGTGGTGGGATGGGAGAGCCCAGGGCTTCACGGAGAGCAGGAAGACCGAGCCTGAGAGCATGAATCCCAGCAGGACCAGCTGCCAGCGGACACTAGGCTTGGCATCGCTGCCAACCCCCTCTCCAAGGTGGGAGAGGGGTCAGAGGTTAACAAGATGACATCTGCAGTCTGCCCACCTGCCTAGGAACTCCAGTCTCATCTTTCAGCAGCCTGGTCACAAAACATACATCCTTGCGTCGCTTTATGAAAGGTCTTCCAAGCACTTTCATTCACATTTTGTCATTGGTTTTTACGCAATTAAGATTAACGTGGCCCTACCTGGTTTGGCTCAGTGGACAGAGCCATGGACTCATGGGTCTCAGGTTGGATTCTGGTCAAAGGTACACACCTTGGTTGCAGGCTTGATCCTGGCCCTGGTTGGGCCACATGCAGGAGGCAACCAATAGATGTTTCTCTGTCTCTCCCTGTCCCTTCCACTCTCTCTACAAGTCAGTGGGGATAAATATCCTCGGGTGAAGATTAACAACAACAAAAGAAGATTCCTATGAAGGGCAGGTAGTTTTACTCCCATTTTTTTTTTTTTAATCCTCACTGGAGGACGATATGCTTTTCATTTCCAATTCACTCATAACACGATGAAAGAGTGTGTACAAATAGCAATCTTTCCAAAATGCAAATCCAATGTTTATCCCCATTTAACCATTAGTGGGTCTTGAACATAAGGCCCGAACCCCTGGGGATGGCTGGCAAAGTGACCCCCGCTTTGCCTCGGATTCTGTCTTAGGTCTTTACATGGCTGCTTTTGCTACCTGGGGTGCCCTTCACCCCCATCCCCACCATAGCCTGTGAATTCAGTCCCTCAAGACCCAGCTCCTCCATGAAGACTTCCCTAAGCCCCTCCACCACCAGAGCTGCCCCTGCCCTGCCGTCACCTCGGCGACAGCTGGCGTCTGTGACGGCACATCACGCTCAGCTTTGCCAGAACTCGCCCGGAGCCGGCACAAGTAGCCGCTTGATGAACATTGACTAAAATGATGAGAAAAGGCTGGATTCAAAAGTGAATAGTTAATATAATTTTGATTTGGCAAAGGCACACACACACACACACACACACACACACACGTAAATATACAAAGAATTTCGCCACAATCACCTCTGGATGGTGAGTGATATAAGCGGCCCTTGTTTCCTTCTTTGTAGTTTTCTGTAGAGACAAAAAATATTTCCAACAAAAAATGCAAAATTTTTATAAAAATACATTTCTCTTTAAAAAAAAAAAATCGTCCTATGAATATGTATTACTCATCCTTGTGCCTTGTAAGGAGGAAATGCTCAATACACCTGCCAGGCAGATGAGCCTCGGAAACCTGAACACGGGTTCTTCCCTCCTTGAATCAGGGCTGGGGGTTCAGCGCAGGAGTTCTATATCCCACCAGCCTGGGTTTGCCTCCTGGCGGACACCCTCCACCTGCAGGACCCGTGCCTCAGTTTCCCTGCGGGTGAAGAGAAGATAACAAGAGGAGCTACCCCTGAGGTTCCCTGTGTGGATGCATGATCGAGCGCACTGCTAAGAATACAGCCAACACTCAGGAAAGGGTGGCGGTCGTTTCTGGCACAGAGCCAGGCTGGCTGGTCAGCTTCTCCCACCTCGAGTGCCCCCCACCCCTGAGCCCGGGTCCTCCGCCCCTGCCCTCACTAGCGGCTGGGCAGCCTCCTCTGCCAAGCAGGCCAGGCCTTTCTCTCCACCCAGAGCACCAACCTGGCAGTCAGATAACCCTGTGAAAACAGTAACTTCACCAACAGCCCCAAGGAGAGCGCCTCCTCAGGTGAGGAGGGTCACGAGCTCCACGTGGCTGAGGGGGGAAGGCCCGGCTGGAGGGAAGGGGCACAGCTCCTCACACCCTCATCTTATCCTGAGCTCCCAGCAGACCCCCGTCTCCGGCCCCACGCGCGCCTCTGAACTCGGGTCTGTCCTCCGACCTGAGCCCCAGGCTCCTCCATCCCACGGGATCCGGGAAACGGCTTCCTACTCAGCAGAGCACACAACTACATTCCTCAATCACGTCGGCTCCCACCTTGATGCTGATTTTTAAATCCTGCTCGCCTGGCCTCTTGGTCTCACCTATTGGGACGGCCAATCATGGGCTCCCAGGAGGTAACAAATCAGAGGAGCAGGCCACCTGGAAGAGCTGGACTCCCAAGCCTATGAGCAGAAGCAAGATTAGAGAGAGAGAGCCGAAATCAGTTTGGCTCAGTGGATAGAGCGTCGGCCTGCAGACTGAAAGGTCCCAAGTTCGATTCCAGTCAAGGGCACGTACCTTGGTTGAGGGCACATCCCCAGTAGGGAGTGTGTAGGAGGCAGCTGATCGATGTTTCTCTCTCATCGATGTTTCTAATTCTCTATCCCTCTCCCTTCCTCTGTAAAAAAAAAAAAAAAAAAAAAAAAAAAAATCAATAAAATATATAATTTAAAAAACAAAAGAAGAGAGAGAGCTGTCACAGGGAGAGAGAGGGCAAGCTGCTGAACAGAAGAGAGGACGAGGGAGAGAACGGGGTGCCAGAGGCCTGGGTTGTGTTTCTGGGATCTTCTGTGCCTGAAAGAGCAGGGTAGGTGGAGAGGAAGCATGGCTAAGCAAGGCCAGACCGCATTCGAGGTGTCCTGCCAGGCAGAGAACTCGCCTGGCTCCTGCAAGACAGATGGGAGAACCCGGAAGTCCTGGCTGGGCCAGGAGATGGGGGTGAAGACAGGGAACCGCGAGGTAAGACAGTGTAGTCAGCTGGGATGGGACAGGCGTGTGGGGGGACAGACACGACGGTTAGAGGCAGGCAGTGGCTCGGGTGGATTTTCAGAACCCCACTCCCCAAACCCATGTCTGATCACCACAGGTGCCGAGCTTACACTGAGCTCACCCACCCTCTGCTGGGCCCAACAGACACCTCTCCCTGCCTGGCCTCCCCACCCCCTCTGGCCGCTTCCCCTACCTCCTTGCTCGGCCCTGGGAGCGGAGCCCTGGGAAGAAATGGATCGGAAGAGCCTGCTGTGCACTGAGCACACTGGATGTTGGCCGCTTTCTCCCCGTGACAAACACACCATCCTGAGAACCAGGGTACAAAAATGGAACAGCCCGAACAAGAACGTGTAGGGTGGAATAAAGAGG